TCTCTCTCTCTCTCTCTCTCTTGCTCTCGCCCTTGCTCTCACTCTCGAGCTCTCTTTCTTTTTCTCTCTCCCTTCCACTCTCTCTGAAAAGCAATAGAAAAAATATCCTCGAGTGAGGATTCTTAAAAAAAGTAAGTATACCAATTTTCCATACACACACACACACACACACTCAGGCGATATTTTTTTTTTTTGTACTTTGTTTATAACCCACATTTTCCAAGCCACATGTTACTTTGTGGGTACCAGTGGGATCACATTAAGGATGATAATCCATATTCACTAGTTCTTGACCCCTCTGATGACACAAACATCCAGTACCCTTCACCCTTTATGGCTGGGAGCCCTGGAAAATATCTGGGGTGAGCTCTTAGCATAACCCCTTCCTGTTCTTTCACACCAGCACTCCTGTTGTTTCTGCCTATATGACCACTTGAGGGCAGCACCTCACCTTTACCTCTCTGGCCTGTGGCTATGCTAAGAAAACCATGCTGAGTATTACCCTAAGCAAAATAAGCCAGTCAGAGAAAGACAAGCACCACATGATCTCACTCATATGTGCAGTATAATGAACAAAATAGACTAATGAACAAAATAGACCCAGAGACATAGAAGCATGGAACAGACTAAGGGATCTCAGAGGGAAGGTGCGGGTGGGTGGGGAGAGATTAACCAAAGAATTTAAATGTATAAATGCGCAACCCATGGACACAGACAATAGTATGGGGAAGGCCTGGGGGTGGAGAGGATGCAGGTTGGATGAGGTCACTGGGGGGGGGAGAATAAGGGGGACATCTGTAGTACTTTCAACCATAAAGATAATTTTTTTAAAAAAAAAGAAACAAAAGGGAAAAAAGGAAACCATGCTGAGAAAAATACAAACTATAGAAAGGCAAAGCAGCTCTTTGTACTCAGGGGACCTTGATGTGCAAAAACTACACTGTGTTTGCTGATTGTTTTATAATACTGATCTTTTCTGTTCTGACAATTCCTTTAAAGCATGTGTAATAGGATGTAAAAATGGGACCCTTCCTGTCTCAGTTTTGGCTGACCCCCCCCCCCAAGTCAATAGATGCTAATTACTCCTGCATTATAAAGTGAGGTGCAAGACCACCAAAGCATAACTTGTGGAGGTGTCCAGAAACCAGTGCACGACATCCTCTCCATGAGAGAGGTTGGAGAGGCGGAGAAGGAATTCTGACAGGATATGTGGCAATAGTTGTCAGTGTGCTCCAGGTCCACACCCCCCCTTGTCTAAAGAAAGGCACGCTTCAGCAGGGCTACTTAGAGAGCGTGGTCTATATCACTCCAGATTGGGACCCAGACAGGCTGCTGTACAATTTGTACTGAGAAATTCAATGGCTTATGGTCAGGTAACTGCTCTGATGGTTGAGCAAAGAGTCGCTGATGCTTTGGAGAGGTCTTTCATGTCCAGTTTTTCTTGACAAAGAATGTCTGAGTATCTGCCATGTGAGTGTTTCCCATGCATGGACAACTTAGCCAAGCAATAGCCTTGGGCCCCGTCCAAGGGAACTCTGGAGGGCTGGAGTGACCCTCCAGGAGAGTGACCACTAGGTTCTCAGAGGATGAGGGAGAATTCAACAGCCCCGTCACAGAGGTGCATTTACCCAAGAGACCCGAAGAAATAAGAAGGTCGAAAGTTCTTCCAAAACACCCATAGAGAATGAGTGAGCACTAAACGCCAAGTACACAAAGCACTGATGCCAACTCACAATGGTATTGGACCAGAAAAACCCTTTCTCCTCCTTACCTCTCCTTTCCCCACCATCCCAAACCCTGGAGGAGCCAGGGGCATCCTATCGAGTGGGGTAAGAGGAACAAGAAAATAAAGAAGCTTATTAAGTTCTTTAGTAACCAAAGAACTTATATGTGTATATGCACAACCCTAGGACACGGACAATGGTGGGCAGAGGGACTGGGGGGGGGG